GGTGCATCACTGTGTTATGACTTATGACTTATGTATTATGTGTATGAAAGTGTGTGTGAAAAAATCGAACTTTTTGTCGCATATTTTCGAATTTTAGAAAAAAAACGCAAAAAACGACGCGACGCATGTATTTATTGCTGTATATAGTGATACTTACACGGTACCTACTCCCTTTTCCCTGACGCCGCTCTTTCCCGGGACTCGTCTGTGAAAAAGTAGGGCCGCGCACCTGCTATAAATTTAGCAGGGAACCCGAATAAGATTCAAACGGGGAGGTCCGAAGTCAGAAGAGGCGTTAAAACTCGAATTTTGAAAAAAATCGGAACAAAAAAATGATAAGACGGAAGTGATAGCGAAACGACGAAAAAAAAATCAATTTATCGAGTTGCGGGTTGCGAGTTGCGGGTTGCGCGTCCGTCAAAGGGCGTTTGAGCGGAGGACCGTGTCCGCCGCCTTCGGACGTTCAAAACGCGAGATTTGCGAAAAAAATCGAACCTCGAGGCGCATGTATATATATTATATGTATGTATATAGCGATACCTACACGGTACCTACTCTCGTTACCACCCCGGGACTCGAATTTTCGAAAAAAACGGCAAATGAAGCAGTCATTACTATTTTTTAATATAGTATTTATAATCTATAGCGGTATTTAACCAAATCGGAATCACGTAAAAACTGTAATATATCAAGTAGGTACTACACGTATAGGTTAGTTAAATTGTAATGTATTTATAAAAGAAACATGTAGGTGGGTCGGTAAATGTTAATTATAATAATTTTTTTGCCCAATAAATATCGTCAAACGAATAATAATAATATATATAATAATATAATAATGCAAATTAAAAAAAAAAATGAACACTTTCGTTAAAAATGATTAATGTGACCAAAAAAAAAAAAACGCAAAAAAAAGAAATCCGAAATATCACGGGCGCCGCAAATTATCGAAAATCCCGGCGGCCGGGTTCGAACCCACGACCCTCGAGTCACCTATCCTAACGCCTAACCAACCTAGCCACCTACTCAGATGAAAACCGGAGTCAATTCTATGACTCTTAAGCCGCGTCCCCGTGCTCGCGAAAGGCGAACGCCGTTTGGAAAGCCGTCAAAGGGCGTTTGAGCGGGCGATCCGACAGCGTCGGCGAGCGGACGACCGGCTTCGCCGCCCTCGGACGTATAATACCCGAGCTTTGCGAAAAAAATCGAACCTCGAGACGCACGTATTTATGCCCGTATATAGCGGTACCTACTCGATACCCCATCGGTACCTACTCTCGTTTAAGCGACGTCGCTCCTCCCCGGGACTCGTTTTTGAAAAAGTAGGTACCCTCGCCGGCTATAAATTTAGCGGGGAACTCGAATACGTCGCCGGCGGGGAGGTCGGACGTCTCGTAGAGTTGCTACACTCGACTCTAGTCGAAAAAGTCGAGAAAACCGTCGAAACGGCGACGACGCGGCGCCCTCGGCGATCGATACGTCCGCCGGGGCACTCGTTTTTGAAAAAGTAGGGCCACGTTTCGACGTTAAATTTAGCGGGGAACGCGAATAAGATCCAAACGGGGAGGTCGATAATCCCCAAAACGCCTAAAACTCGAATTTTCGAAAAAAAATGCAAAAAACGCGCGCGACGGCGGCGCTCGTATCGCACTCGACATCCGCCGCCGCGGGCCCGCCGGGAAAAAAGTAGGGCCGCTCGCCGACTATAAATTTACCGAGGAACGCGAATAAGGTCCGAACGGGGCCGCCCGAGGCCCCCCGGGGGGGTAAAACTCGTTTTTTTTCGAAATTTCTTTGATTTTCGAAAAAAAACGGCAAAAAGTGATAAGAGGAGTGATAACGCAGCGACGGCTCCGCCGCCGCCGGGAGACCGCCCGCGGATAGAAATCTAATTTTCTCATTGGCTCTCCCTTACGCTAGTTCGGAATTACTCCATAAGCTGCGCCCTCGGGTTCACGTTTTATAGTATAAGAAATAGCAAAAACAATAAATTATGCAATGAAGTTATATGTGGCGTGTGCAATTATTTTAAAATATTTTGGTGTGGAATTAGGTGCAGTGCAGTAGCAAAATACCTTAATTTTAGGCCCTGGTCTACGCCACTGCAGCATGCTAGAGAGGGGTCCATTATGAGTTAAATTTTAATTAAATTACATATTATACGAGGTATAATCATTGTATATACAAAAACGGTTCTGATTTCTGAGCGAAGACAGTCTCAGTCTCTGTCAGTACTCAATATTACTAAGTATATTTTATGATAGATATTAATATTTCATTGTTATTAAAGTAATTTATTTTACTATTAGACATTATTAACATAGTAGGTTAGCTTAAAATATATTCATTTTTAACTACAAAATAATTTGCAATTTTCACGATTTTGACGAAATTATCAACATTCTAACCAGACACTCATAAGTAGTCATAACAAATTATTGCGTTTCTACTCTCAACTCTTTTTTAAATTTCCTGTAACAACAACTTATGATGAACATTGTATTAAATTTACAATTAAAATTAAATATTTTGATCTGGTGGATAATTTTTTAGTGAGAATAATTGATTGAAAATTTGCAAAAATTGTGTATAAACAGGTAAAATAGTCAAAATATTTCAAAAAAATGTAACATGTAGTGATGAAGATGCTGAAATAGGAAATCGAATCATTTTTACTGCCCCAAAAGGGTACTGTATAACTGATACAAAACATCAGTGGCGTATATACAAATAATTTTTGGGGTGGGCTATAGTAGTATAGTAGACAGAAACTAGAAAGTGATCTTGCTAGTTAGAGACTACCGTCTACTATATATTTAACAGTTTCTATAAATATATTCGTATTTGTTATTTTTCAACAGGCTATGAAATATTATAACTTATAATAGAACGAGTACCTAATAAAATATATTGTTGTTCTATTTAAAAAGACTGTAATTTCGTGAGCGGGGGGGGGGGGCTGCAGCCCACTGCGTCCTGCATTACTGGAACTTACGCAACTGCAAGACATAATAAAATTAAAAAAACACATCATTAATACATTAATTGCCCCGCTCAGAATATAAATTAATCAAATGCATTGATTCTGAGATAGTAAATATATTATAGATACCTAGGTACCTACTAAAGTACTACCAAGTAGGTATACCTAATTAATGATAATAAGTATTAAGTAATAACCATCGCCAAACGATCACGCACGGCCGCACGGGTAAGAATATACTAAGGTAAGAATAGGCTTTTTAGTAAGTTTACAATATAAATTATAACTTATAAGTCATATTTTATCATGACAAATTAAATAGGTATGTCAGCAACTCGTGATACGCATGTCTGTGACGTAGCATTTCTCCAACATGTTGAGCGGTGGAGGGTGGTGGACCAATGAGAACCGGAGAAATGCTTATACGTCACAGTACTAAGGGCCGATTTCACCAACATAGTTAATCACGATTAAAGCTAACCGGAGTTTTAATCGGCCGAATTTGGCCGGTTAAATTTTTGTTATCAGCCAATAAGTGTTAACCGTGATTAACTGTGTTGATGAAATTGGCTCTAAGCTGGGCGGAGGGTGGGTGCGCGATTTGTTTCTAAACTGGTAAAATTGCTGACATACCTATTTAATTTGTCATGTATTTTATATAAGTTCTTTATAATCGTGGCTTTGGATAAATGGATGATAATTAATACTATATAATATTATATTCAATATCATATTATCCCCCCTCCAACAAGACAACATCTGATAACCCTAAATACATCACTGATACCTACCTAAATAAATAAAAATATAAAATACCAAAAGAAGGTTTAATGGAAGATTATTTCATTATTGGAGGAGTACAATGTTATAGTAACACAGTAAAATTGGGGAATCCGATAAATTAAAAGATCAAAACTCGAAACCAAAACATAAATAATTAATAAATATTAATTAATATTAATTGTGTTTGTTTACCTTCTAACTCGTTCAACGTTAGAAACGAGATATACCTTGGAACTGATAACATAATTTGCGTTCTGTGGTTATGTACTTCAACAAAACAGCCGGGTTTTATCATTTTAAAATCAAAATAGTAAATAGTAAATGTTTTTAATGTTTTAAAAAATTTTAGAAAACATAATAAATAGGTATTAAGTATTTGAATGTTTGTTTTTAATGTTACTATTATTGTAAATATTATGTTCGTTTTAAATTAGTGTATGTATGTATATTATTATTGAATGTATCAAATGCATTAAATCATCAATTGAAGAGACTGATTGAAAGTAAGAAACCTTTTTTTTTAGTATATAGGTACTTAATATGTATTTATATTGTTTTTACACAGTTTTAAGTAAGAAAACTTATTTGTAAGTATATACTTAATATGTATCTATATTGTTTTTACACAGTTTTCTATAAAGTAATATTATTTAATGTATGTTTTTGATTGTTCAAATATGGTTTTATATTGTTATTGTACCTACATTAGATGTTAGCCCATAATCTAATTTGTTTTAAAATATTTACTAAGTGTTGTATTTTTATACATTTTAAATATTTTAGAAAGAACTCTTAGTATTAAAATCTGGCTAGATGTTAAACATGCCATGTTATATCTAAAACATTATTATTTTAATAATATATTTCTTTAATAATTTTAAATTAAATTTATAATTATTAATTTGTATACAAGTAATTATACATTGTATATACTAATATAATATAGCATTATACCCTATAGGTAACTATTAACATTAATTAATTAATTCACATGCCTTAATTAAATTTTAATAAAGTAATACTGTTAAGATATACCTACCTATTTAGTTCATTGGAAAAAAAAAATCAAATTGTATCCAAATGTATTAAATTAATTATAATAGTGTTTTTGTGTATATCAGATATCCTAGCTTTATATAATATTATGAAATAATATACACATTATTTGCGTGTATAGTTTAGTTCATTTTAGTTTTATTGAATTCTATATTTACATTTCAGAACCAAAAAAACAATGTCATCTGTACGCATGCAACATTTTGTAACCAGGTTAAAGTCCAAAAACTTAGAAATCCGTAAACGTGCTGCTCGAGATTTAAATCTCTATGTAATTATAAAAATGGCTTACAAACCATTAAATAAACATTAATTTGTGTTTAATTATTATTCTTTAAGGTTAAAACTGAACTACGCGAAGTATCAGCAGAAGAACGTGCAGTTTTTAATGATGAATTTAACCAACATATATATGAAATGGTGTCAAGTTCTGACAGCAATGAGAAAATTGGTGGAATACTTGCTATATGTGAGTACTTTAGCGATGTAGAAATTATTAACTATTTATACGTTTTGATAAATTACTAAAATGAAAACATATTAATAAGTCTTTATATTGCAAATTTTTTTTATTTCAACTTTTTCTTTCTTTACTATAGTTTTAGGCTTAATAATATGTGTTAAAAGACTTAACTTTTAATAACTTTTTTTTTAAAAATGAATAAAAAAATATTTTAACAAATGAATAAAGAATATTGATTGTTATTGAATATATATTTTACTATAAAAAATAATAGAACTTTACTAATTAAAATATATATTTATTTAATTTGAATGGTAAACATTTATTTACTACAAACAAATTTCATAACCTTATAAAACTAGACTATGATGACCCTTATTAGAGAAATATCAAATATGGCATCATTTTATTTTTCTGAAGTCTAAGTTTTCTATAGCAAATGACTTGTGTTAAATTAAAGATTCAAAAACATCTTTATGAACTTCTACATTTAATAAGTTATGTAGCTAGAGTATTGTATTTAAAGTATAATATAATTTTAAAGTTCTTAATGAATTTTAACTTTACATTACTTTTTTGTGACTAAAAAAAAAAGATGTATGAGTTCAATTGATTGAGTTAAACAGAACATTTAATTCATGAATGAGTGTTTAGTTAATTGTATTATGTATATGTTACAGTATTGACAAATTAATAGATTTGATATAAATCATTAAACTGATAAAACTGTTAAATAATTATTATAAAATTATTTTAAGCTTCATATTAAATTAAAATTTCATTCTTAGCATATTATTTGCATTATTGTTACTTATTATTACTGTTAAAACTTTTTAGACATCTTTATAAAATATTAAATTCAAATCTCAAAATATTTTATTTAGTAAAATGTAAATGCTTTATGTGTAGATAAATATTTTATTGATTGATGACATTATTGAATACATTTTTTAACAGTGTGTTTAATTGGTGCTGATGTTGGCAATAAAAATAACCGTATTAGTAGGTTTGCAAACTATCTACGTAATTTATTGCCATCTGCCGATTCGGCAGTAATGGAGCTTGCTGCCAAAACAGTTGGAAAATTAGCCTTGGACTCTGGCACTTATGCAGATCAGTATGTTGAATTTGAGGTGAAAAGAGCATTTGAATGGTTAGGTGGTGTAAGAAATGAGCCCAAAAGATATGCTGCAGTGAGTAACATAGTTTTTAATCATTATTATTATTATTAATATAAATAATCATAACGATTCAATTTATTTGTTTATAAGGTGCTCATACTCAGGGAAATTGCTACTATGGTTCCCACTCTATTTTTTCAACACGCAGCTCAATTTTTGGATTTGGTGCTAAATGTAGCGCGTGATCCAAAACCAAGCATTAGAGATGGAGCTGTAGAAGCATTAAGAGCAGCTCTTGTTGTAACTGCTCAAAGAGAAACCTCTAAACAGACCCAGAAATCTGAATGGTACTAAGGAAAAATATATAAAACCTATATCTCAACAAGCTTGTCTGGGTCGAAAAATTTTATAATACATTTTTTAGTCCAGTACAATTTTAGAAAATTAATACTTTATTATTGAGCTTAAATTACCATAATTTGTAGCATAATATATTTTTTTGGTTTACTAAGGAATACCTACTTAAAAAAATCTGTTTATTTATTTATTTTTTTTTTTAATTGAATAACCCTCTGCAACATAGGCCATTGGGTGTGGGGAGGGAACTGTGGGGTTTTTGGTTTGATAGGTTGGTACACGTGTGTGTTGGGTTTTGGCAGAATTTCTAATAGGGCACCCGTAGGTTTCTGCCATGCCCTGGGTGGGGGATGGCGGCACTTGTTGTCCGGACACCGTGACTTGCTGAAGAAAAATGCCGAGGTATCGAACCAGCTTCGGCTGTGGCAGCCTCCCGGCCACTCCGTCCCCCTGTTTCTTTATTTCTTACAAATGAAGACAGCAAATGTATGGATTTAATTTTTTTAATTATTTTGAAAATGTAATTATTTTTTAACATAAAGTTTACAAATTTTTTTTGAAAGCTAAAGTTTAAACAAATGATTGGTAGGAGAATATATTAAATATTTGGGTGGGTATGTATGAAGAAAAAATCTGTTGAGATATAATGTTTATAATATCTTAACTTATGCTGCTAATTTAATTTTGTGTTTTCTTCCATTAGGTACAAGCAATGCTATGAAGAAGTGATGAATGGAATTGATGATTGTATAAATAAAGATAAAGGAGTAATTCGTGATGACAAGATCCATGGATCCTTACTAGTATTAAATGAACTACTTAGAGTCAGTAATGTTAGTTGGGAAAGACGAAACGACTCTTTGATGCAAAGATTGCAATGGGATCAAAGTCAGACTAGTGCGGTGAGATACATGATACATTTAAGGAAAAATTCATAATTTACCTTTTAATTTTACTCATTTAATTTTCCCAAAATCATCCGTATCATTTGTTTATAAATATTAAATTTTGTCATATGAGTTTTTTATCATAATATTTATCATTCAATGTTCATCCTATAATTTCTTATAAATGTATAGATTTTTTTTTAGTTTAGTTTGAATTTTTCCTTTTACTTGATAAAAACTATTAACATTTTATGACTGTGATTTATACTTTTGTAGTTAAAAAAAATTTCAAATACAAATAATACAATAAAAATTGTTGGCTTTTAGGAAATACTGAGTTTATTACCTCGGACAAAGTCTGCTTTAAAAGGATTGGTAGGTGGTTCTGGACGAACAGATGATGACTCAGTAAGAATCGCATCATCAGGTATTCGATACGAAAGTAGTGCTTGTAAAAATCTACTGCAAGAAAACTATGATCGAGTGTGTTCATCAGCAATATCTCATAGAATGTGCAGAAATCTTTTAGTGAATTCTGCTCTGATGAAATTGCTTCCTAGATTAGCTGCATTCAATAAATCAATTTTTGTTCAAAAGTATTACTGTAATATTTTAATACCTTTATCATTATTTTATAAAAAATATTTTATTTTTTAGCTACTTAAATTCTTCAATGCTGTTTCTTCTTGCAACTATTCGCGGTCGTGATCGTGATCAACGGACTTATGCATTGGTTGCTGTTGGTCTAGTAGCAATAGCTATTGAAGATCATATTAAGCCGTATTTATCCAAAATTGTAGAATTGATACGTAGTTTCTTACCATCCAAGGTATTGTTTTAAATAATATATCGGTAGTTTTTATTTTAAAATTACTTAATTTGTAATTACTTATATAATATGATTAATTATTATATTAATCATATTTTTGAAAATGTTTACAGGATAGTTCAAAAAAAAAACCTACAAATTCTGAACCAGCGGTTTATGTTTGTATTACATTATTGGGAATCGCTACTCAACACAATATTAAGAATGATCTTAAAGAACTTCTTGAACCTATGTTGGCCATGGGCCTCAGTCCTACTCTCACTATAGCCTTTAAAGAATTAGCAGTAGCTGTACCTGCATTAAAAAAAGATATATCTGATGGTAAACAAAGAAATTCATTCAAATCTCATTGTCTGGCTATAAATATTGGTTTTTTTTTTAGGATTACTGAAAATACTGTCTCAAGTGCTTAACAACCGTAATACTTCAATAGCTTTACCAATATCTGTTACAAGTTCTGCACTCAGTTTGTCATTAATGCCATCAGCTTTCGAGTCTCAAAATATTTCAAATATTGTTTTGGCTCTCAGAACACTTGGTAGCTTCAACTTTGAGGGTAACATAACATATTATAATATATTTTAATATATTTCAATAAGTATAATAAACAAACATATGTGACTATTGGATTAAAAACAACATTTATAGGGCATTCTTTACTGCAATTTTTACGTCGCTGTGCTGAGCATTATCTAGGAAGTGAACAACAGGAAGTCCGAATTGAATCTGTTCGAACATGTAGTCGTTTATTACGTTTGGCAATTGAGTCGCCACAAAGTAAAACATCTCATACTGTTAGATACACAATTTCTACAGTAATCAAGCAACTACTGGTCGTTGGAGTTGCTGATACTGGTTAGTTAAATAAATGTTGTTTGTTTAAAAAAATTAAATTTAAGAACATATAATAATTTTATTTGTTTTCTTATTATGTTAGATCCTGATGTGCGTTATGTAGTGTTTGAGAATCTCGACCGCAGTTTTGATTTTTATCTAGCTCAAGTTCACAATCTTACAGCATTATTTATGGCTATGAATGATGTGAATTTTGAAATAAGAGAAATGGCCCTCTGTACTATAGGGAGGCTTAGCCTGGTAAATCCTGCTTATGTAATGCCACCATTACGCAAAACACTGATGCAGGTTTGTGTAATTATTTATGATAAAACAAAGAAATTGATGAAAATTGAATTGAATATTTTTTTTAACTTTTTGGTATTAGTGTTTGACTGAACTTGAACATAGTGGAATGGGTCGTAATAAAGAGCAAAGTGCCAGAATGATTGACCACATGGCTGTTCACGCTCCTCGTCTTGTAGCTCCATATGTGCAACCAGTTTTAAAAATATTGGTTCCTAAACTTCATGAACCTGATTTAAATCCAAGTATTTTGATAAGTATACTTGCGTGCATTGGAGATTTGGCACAGGTAAGTTCAATATGGTTTTATTTAACTTAATTTAAAATAATTACTTTTGTATTTGTGGTTGAATTTAACAGGTAAATGGTGAAGAAATGTGTTGTTGGACTGATGAACTGTTGCCTTTCTTATTGGACATGTTAGGCGATGGTGCATCGCAAGAAAAACGTGGAGTTGCTCTGTGGGTACTTGGTAAATTAGTTGAAGGACTTGGGTATGTCATCCAACCATATGAAAAATACCCTTCATTATTAGACACTTTACTGGGATTTTTAAAAACCGAACAACAGCCTATAGTCAGGTGCATTTATACATTTTATAAAATAGTTAACTCATTAACTAGGATGATTTTCTTATTTTTGCTTTAGAAGAGAAACAATACGGGTACTAGGACTCCTTGGAGCTTTAGATCCTTATAAACATAAAATGAACTTGGGACAGATTGATTCTCAAATTGAGTCTACTGCTTTACTTTCGATGACTGATCCTCGTCCTATATCAGAAACCGAATGGACGACTAGTGAAATGTTAGTAAACATGAGTACATCAACACTGGAAGAATATTATCCAGCCGTAGCGGTTGCAACACTTATACGCATCATTCGTGATCCAAATTTAGTTCAACATCACACTATGGTTGTACAAGTTAGTAAAAAATGAATGTTTAAAATGTATATTGTATTTTATGTTCCTTTTTTTTCAACAATTAACTTAATTTATGCTTCAAATTATAAGACATTTTTTTGTAAATTTATATAAGTAGTTACTACGTTTAACAGTATTATGTGTTAAATTTTATTTATTTACCCAAGCAGTAACTAGTAAATTCAGTTATTACTTGGTTATTCATTATTTAGTTTTAATGTTTATGAAAATATGTACTAATGATAGTTATTATGGTGTTATATTTTAGGCTATAACATTTATCTTTCAATCTTTGGGTATAAAGTGTGTGGCGTACATACCACAAGTTATGCCAAGTTTTTTAAATGTAATTCGTACAGCAGATGCCAACTTCAGAGAATATCTATTCCAGCAGTTGGGTGTACTTATAAATATTGTTGGCCCACACATCCGCAACTATTTGGATGATATATTTTTGTTAATTAAAGTTAGTTTTTGCAATATAGATTTAAAAATTCTTAATTAAATTTGCATGATATAAATCATAAATTTGTTTTCCTAGGAATTATGGATCCCAAATAGTTCACTACAATGTACTTTAATCCAACTAGTCGAGTACATAGTCGTGGCGCTTGGAGCACAGTTCAAAACCTACTTATCTCAATTAATGCCTAATATACTAAGAATACTTTATCATGACTCTAGTAAAAACCGCAATGTTACCAAAAGGGTACGATTTGTAATAATTTATAACTTATTTTTTTTCTATAAATTTATATATAAATGTATTTAATTAATTAATTTATATCATAAACTTTTAGATGGTTGTAGCTTTATGTAAATTTGGTATTAATTTGGATGAATATTTACACATGATTATGCCACCACTAGTAAACTTATTCGATGCTACTGATCATCCTACTCAAGTCAGCCAGGTGGCAATGGAAACTGTTGCACAGTTAGCATACACTTTGGATTTTACAGACTACGCATCACGCATAATACATGGAATTGTATGAATATTTATCGCAGTTTAGCGCATTATTATTTATAATGAATTTCTTGAATGTATTTTAGGTAAATTCTATAGAAAGTACACCAGAACTTAGAAAAACTGCTATGGAAACATTATGTGCATTGATATGTCAATTGGGTCGCAAATATATAATTTTTATGCCACTTGTTGCTCGCACTTTAAATAAATGCCAATTCAATTATCCCCCTTATGACATGCTCATTACTTATATATCATCAGTATGTGATCAAATAAACGTTACTAAATATAATTTTCTAACTTTAATATTTTTTTTTTTAGAACACTGATGGAAGTCTAGAAGAAAACCTGTTGCTTTCTAGACACAAGCAGTTCAAAAGTAAAAAAGAAGTTGGTGTACATTTAGTTGGAGATGCGGCTACCATAATAAAAAAGGTGGTTTGATAGTTTTCTTTTAAGAAGTATTGTAAAGTAATATTATCATCAAATGCAAATAGGCTCTCTTGTCATATGTATAGTAGCCTGGTTTGTAGGTTATTTAAAAAAAAAAATAATCACAAGATAATAATATTTCATATTTGTAGAGAATTTTTTTTTATTTTAGTGTAATGTTTCTTGTATTTTTTTTCCAGATGCATACATCATTGCCGAATTTACAAAAAGCATGGTTGGCAAATCGTTGTGTTTCTAAAGATGATTGGCTAGAGTGGTTAAGACGACTCGGCATTGATTTCTTGAAAGAATCACCATCACCAGCACTGCGTTCATGTTGGGCACTTGCCCAAACATATTCTCAGTTGCCTAAAGATCTGTTTAATGCAGCGTTTGTCAGTTGTTGGACAGAATTAACAGAACCACTTCGAGAAGAGCTAATACAGACATTAGAACAGGCATTGATGGTTTCTGATCTTCCAGAAATGACTCAGACTATATTGAACTTGGCAGAATTTATGGATCACTGTGAAAAAGGACCATTGCCAATTGATCCTCATATACTTGGTGAAAGAGCTATGGACTGCAGAGCTTACGCAAAAGCTCTGCACTACAAAGAAGATGAGTACATCCAAGAGATAAATAGTCGAGTATGCCCAAATATTATTGAATCACTTATATCTATTAACAACAAATTACAGCAAAAAGAGGCAGCATCGGGTATATAAAATATAATTATTAAATATTAGTGTTTGTTAATTAAAGTGTTATTAATTATTATTAATATGAACTAGGTCTGTTGGAAGTAGTTATGAGTAAGCAAGAAGAAGACCAAGAACCTGGGGAACAGTTGAAAATACAAGCAAGGTGGTTCGAAAAACTACATAACTGGGAACAAGCATTGTCATGTTACGAAGGGTTTTTGCAAAAGGAACCAAATGATATAGAATGGTCATTAGGAGAAATGAGGTATGCAAAATTTATAAAATTTAACAATCATTTCTTAGAATGCATAAATTGTTTTAACAACAGATGTTTGGAATCTTTGGGTCAATGGGGAAAGCTGAATAATGTGGCTGCTTCTCATTGGTTACATTTTCCTGAAAGTGGGCGTGAAAAAATGTCAAGGGTTGCTGCAGCTTCAGCCTGGGGACTAAAACAGTGGCAACAAATGGCAGTTTATGTGGATTTCATACCGAGAGACACTATGGATGGGGCCTTTTATAGAGCGGTTTTATCTATTCATGGAGAACAGTACGAACATGCTCAGAAAGTATGACACATATTTCATATTTCAACGTTCAACAAATTTAAAAAGTTGACATAAAGTAAACATTATATTTGTTTATAGTTTATTGATTTGGCTCGGGAAATTTTGGATACCGAACTTACAGCAGCCGCTGCAGAAAGTTACCAGAGAGCTTATGGTGCCATGGTTTCCGTACAAATGTTATCTGAACTTGAAGAAGTTATTCAATATAAACTGAAACCAGAGAAACGTCCGATTATTTACAAAGTTTGGTGGGACAGGCTTCAGGTACTAATAATTATATAAAATTTGATTTATATATAATTTTGAAATGGCTTTAGGGATGTCAAAGAGTTGTAGAAGACTGGCAGCGTATAATTCAAGTACATTCATTGGTGTTAAATCCCGAAGAAGATATGCATACATGGCTTAAGTATGCTGCTTTGTGTCGCAAATCATCACGCTTGGTAAATTTGTATTTATTTTAAGACTATGTTTATTGTTTTTACCGAATGTGTTAATGTTATTTATATTTTAAATAATATGTTTAGGTATTGTCTCATAAGACTCTAACAACATTATTGGGTACAGATCCTTCAAAAAATCCTTCTGAACCATTACCAATGACACATCCTCATGTCACATTTGCATACATTAAGCATATGTGGACTTCTGGGACTAAAGCGGAAGCCTTCAAGTAAATAACAATTAATATTTAAAAATTTGAAATATTTAGTAAATGTGTACAAATATTTTATAATATTTATGAACCTTATTTGTTTTTTATTTTTAGTCATTTAAATAGTTTGATCCAATATGTGCTGCCACAATTAAAACGAAGAGGGAAAGATAGCGAGAAACTTAGAAATGATCCTACTAAAAAACTATTGGCCAGGTACATTTAAATTGTGATAAAAGTTCCCACTTTTATTTTAATTTATACATAATATAATTTATGTTTTGCAGATGCTACTTAAAGTTAGGTAATTGGCAAGAAGAGCTTCAGGGTTTGACTGAATTGTCAATACCAAATGTTTTAGAACACTACTCTGAGGCAAAAGCTCATGATCCTAGCTGGTATAAGGCATGGCATTCGTGGGCGTATATGAATTTGAAACTGTTCCTTTTCTACAAACATAAGCAAAATAAGTCACAATCAAATGATCATACTGCAGAAAAAGCAATAACTGATAAAGCTAGCTCTGAGGTAATTCAATTAATTTTACGTTTTTATAATTATTCTTAAATTTTTAATGTACTATTAATTTTTAGTTTCCAAAGTCTGACCAATATATTTCCAAATTTACTGTACCTGCAGTTGAAGGATTTTTTAAATCTATTGCACTGTCTCAGGGTAGTTCACTACAAGATACATTGAGACTCTTAACTCTTTGGTTTGAATATGGTCAATATCATAATGTGTATGAAGCCATTGTTGATGGCTTAAAATCTAGTCATATCAACACATGGTTACAAGTAATCATTTATAAAATTAATATTCAAATAGAATTATACTTAGTATGAATATCTGATATTGTTGTTTAGGTGATACCTCAACTGATTGCTCGCATTGACACACCTCGTACACTAGTCAGTCGTCTGATTCAAGTTCAGCTAATCGATATAGGCAAACACCATCCTCAGGCTTTGGTTTATCCACTGACTGTCGCAAATAAATCTGCCAGTGCAGCACGTAGGAATGCTGCAAGAAAAATCTTAAAAACTATGTGTGAACATAATCCAAATTTAGTGCAGCAAGCAGTCATGGTTAGTGATGAACTACTTAGGGTTGCCATACTTTGGCATGAATTGTGGCATGAGGCCTTGGAAGAAGCCAGTAGGTTGTATTTTGGTGAAAATAATGTAAAAGGCATGTATGAAGTGTTAGACCATTAATGCTATGTTGGAAAGAGGACCTGAGACTCTGAAAGAAACATCATTTAACCAAGTATGTACTGAAAAATGTATTTATTATACATAAATATAATGACTAAAAAGCATTTAAAATTTTTTTTATCTAGACATATGGTAGAGATTTGGTTGAAGCTTTAGAATGGTGTAATCGTTATCTGGTTTCTGGTAATAATCGTGACTTGAATCAAGCATGGGATTTATATTATCATGTTTTTCCGTCGAAATAACTAGGCAATTGCCCCAACTTACAAATCTAGAACTTCAGTATGTCAGCCCGAAATTACATCAAAGTCGTAATATGGAACTTGCAGTTCCAGGTTCATACATACCTGGTCAACCTATTGTCAGGATTGCTTACATTCAAAGCTCATTGACTGTAATCACTTCTAAACAACGTCCTCGCAAGTTAGTTATTAAAGGTAGTGACGGAAATGAATTTATGTTCTTGTTGAAAGGCCATGAAGACCTGAGACAAGATGAAAGAGTAATGCAACTTTTTGGCTTGGTCAACACACTGTTGCTTAATGACCCTGACACGTTCAGAAGGAATTTAACTATTCAGGTGCTGGTTAGTTTCTACTTACAGATCCTTGAATATCAATACATTAGTGATTTTTATTTAAAAATACTTTCAGAGATATGCCGTGATACCTTTATCTACTAACTCAGGTCTCATTGGTTGGGTACCTCATTGTGACACATTGCATACTCTAATACGTGATTTCAGAGATAAGAAGAAGACATTATTGAATATAGAACACAGAATCATGTTAAGAGTAATGTTTATAATATTATCAGTGTCTTAAAATTGTAATTAGTATTTCTTTTATCTTAAACATACTTGTTGTATTTTTTAGATGGCACCAAACTATGATCATTTAACATTAATGCAAAAGGTTGAAGTATGTGAACACGCTTGACTAATAGCAATGAGAGATCTAGCCAAGGTTACTGTGGCTCAAGTCTCCATCATCTGAAGTTTGGTTTGATCGTAGAACTAATTACACAAGATCATTGGCTGTGATGTCTATGGTTGGCTATATACTCGGATTAGGAGACAGGTAAAATTAATTGCAATTAATATACGTATACTGACGGACCATTTAAATATTTTTTATTTTCATTAAACAAATTTAAAACAAAATAGTGGCCCACCCATTTAATTAAATTTTTAAATTCCCGTTTGGATCTGTATTATTTCGGTTAATACAGTGTTTTACTTTTAGGCATCCTTCAAATTTGATGTTGGACCGTTTAAGTGGAAAAATATTACATATAGATTTTGGTGATTGTTTTGAAGTGGCTATGACACGTGAAAAGTTTCAGAAAAAATTCCTTTCAGACTTACTAAATGCTTATTAATGCTATGGCAGTATGTATAGCTCGTTAAAACTGTTTTTTGAGCAGTGGTAAATAGTTTTACGTATGATTATATTGATCACTGGTATGAGGGGCGAACCTCACCGTAGGTCGAAAGTGTCATGACTGTGCTTCGAAACAACAAAGACAGCTTGATGGCTGTTCTAGAGGCTTTTGTGTATGACCCATTGCTAAATTGGCGTCTAATGGAGGCTGGCGTCTGTGCTCGGAGAACAGCAGCTGCAACTGCTGGTGCTACAGTTGTTGGGACAAATCCTATAAGTGCCAGCCTCTGCTGCTACTACCGTTTCGGGAAGAAACGAGCATGGCTACTAGTTTTCCAGCTTCTCTAGTAAAAAAGCTGCTCCTATGAATGTTGGTCCGGGTGGTGATATTGGTTTGTTAACCTTAATGCATTTATAAAGATAACACTATTATTGTATAATATGTTTGGTGTGTGATGTTTAGGTAACATTGAGACTGAGCCAACTGAAGCATTGAACATGAAAGCTCTAGCTATTGTCACAAGAGTTCGTGAAAAATTGACTGGTAAAGATTTTATACATGAACAAGAACTAACTGTCCCCAGACAAGTGAATTTACTCATACAACAGGCCACTGCCAACGAAAACCTTTGTCAATGCTACATTGGTTGGTGAGTATCTGAATTATAGGTTTTTGTTTTTTATTTGAATTTAATTATGAAGTATTAATCAGATTGAAACTTAACAATTTAGTTTAATAGAATTAATACTATTTATTTTTTAATACAATTAAATCCACTTTTATAAATAGGTACATATAACTGCAGTAAACCTAATATAGAATATCAGTGTTATTTAATGTTATTTTGGATTTTTAAAAAATATATAATAAATAGGGTTCGGATTTGAAGGCAATATAATCAATAAATAAAGCATTTAAAATGTAAAAAAAGGCAAAAAAGGCATTTAATTTATATAAAAGGCAATTCATAAATATACTACAAAATAAAATAGTGAACATTTTTTAAACACTTTTAAATGCACACATTTTGAGAAAAATACAAATTAAAAATGAGCATGAATACTAAACTACATTAAGTTTATGCTATTTTGTATAAATAGATTAGGTACCTTTTTCTTTAACCAGGTTTGTCCTAAGAATTGGTTAAAAACAATTTTAAATATTAACTTACTTGAGTTATACCAGTTAATTTAATGCAAAATAAACTAGTTGGTATTAAAAAAAAAATTGACTACCATGTATTTTGATAAGCTGTCTTCAGAAAAACGGCTATGGTTAGGGGTTAAAATATTTTTGTACATCGAAAACAATCTTTCTACGTCCACCGAAGTTTTCGGGGCGTATTTCATACTTAAATAATAATTATCTAAATTAAGATTACTACTATTGCGAGTAATAAAACCCATTTGTAACGATAATACGCAAACTGTGTATAAATTTATAAAATCAACTGAAAAATTAAACACAAGATAGGCATTTATAAGTAAAAAGGCAAAAAAAAAAAAAGATCCATCCTCTAAGAAATCAAATGAAACACATTTTTGTATAAAAATTATTTTTCTATTATGATTAATAAAATAAAGGCATTTGCCTTCAAATCCGAACCCTAATAATAAATATTAATATCTAGCGGATTAATGGAACTAAAAAAATATAAATTATCTTAAATTATCATTTATGCTTCATTGCTAAACAAAGATTTTTAAACATTTTAAAATTTAAAGCAATATTTATAGAAAATGATAATAAAAAGAAGATAGATATAGTATTTCCTATTTTGTATAATGTTATGTTTCAAATCACCTACAATAAATCAAAACAAAAGTATGATTCAATAAAAGTAAATATAGATTCTTAGTTTATTTTAAATTATCTTTTATCAATCAAATCAGTATTTCTTCTTTCTTAAATTTGTAGCTAAAATTCTTAATTTATCATAATATTACTATAACGTTATTGATTTTCTTTTTTTTATATAGTTCTTTGTCTTAATTTTCAGGTGTCCGTTTTGGTGAAATTTCATACTACGTCTATTGTTAAAAAATTACACAATATACTTTACATTATCGTTATTACATTTTTTACACTAATTTAAGGTTCAAAACGTTTTAAGAATGTTTAATGTAGGGATATAAAATGTGTATATACTTTTTGTTTTTATTTAAAATGATTTCGGTTTTTTTTACACTATTGCATTTAAACCAACTTGGTACATTTGTAATTTGAACTTTTATTTTTAATTTTAACGTTTTTATGTTTTTGTACAAGCCTATGTTATTTTTACTTGATGCCAAGATGCAGTCGCATACTACTCATTTGTACAAAAAAGTATTTCAAAAACTTTTTATTAAAAAACAATTAATAAAATATCTAAACTAAAAATTATTGATACAAGTTCACACACTTGATGATGTATAAATATAGTTATTTAAATGTCTTTATATTAAAGGAAATCAATATTTATTTGATCTGTATCAGATTTTTTTTGATTTTATTACTTGGTTTTTTATTGTGTTAAAAGAACTTGAAAGCCAGAAAACTTGTAACTATTTTCACCAATCATTGTATAAATATAATCAGACTTCTTTATTATTATAAAACTAGGTAATAAAAAATATCATCATAAAAAAAAATGTTATGAAAAGTAACAATATAAATCGATAATATTTGTTTATAATTTTAAGGGGATGTATTATTTTTGACAAAATAAGTGGTGGGATGGAAAATGTAAATTATAAAAAGTAGAGATGTTACGGTGAATGATGTAAACGTGGTAAATGTCGTCATTCCCCGGTAAATGACGTAATTTACCTAAAAATTGGTAAATGTTGTAAATGTAGACATTCGGACATTCCCCGGTTATTGACTTCAATCTCCAGATTAATTGGAGAATGATGTTCAATTCATTTATGGGAAGAATTGTATCGAATTTTAAAAAATAGTGTTGACTTTTAATAAATAGTTTTGACTTGAATAAATTGTGTTGACTTTTAAAAAATAGTTTTAACTTAAAAAATAGTGTTGACTTGAAAAAAACGAAGGTTAAAAATTGTGATTTGAACTTAAGTGAAAGTTTTTTACGCACTCCTCTCTGGGAATTTTTCTTTGTTTAAATTGATCAATATAATATTTATAATTTTATATAACTGACATTATATGTCATTAACTAGATATCACAATACGTAAACGTAATGGGACGCAATACGATCACTTAACTGACGGTAAGGAGTAATTACACAGAGCCGATACGGTGTCATCCCATTTGTGTCGGTGTGAACGATCAGTGATAAGTGGATACTGGATAGGTATTAGGTGCGCGACAAAGCTTTGTTAGTTACAAAACTGTACAAATAAATAATTTATAATAATATTCACCTATTTTATTCATTTCAATTAACCTAACCTTTCATTAATTTCATTGAAATCAAAAATAATGAGATTCAAAAATGAATCACCCACCAACAATAAATCATTATTAAATAGTATCTATATTAAAACAATCAGTGTATTATTTGAGATTTATCATCATTTACCACAAGTTTTGGTAAATGATGTCAATGACCGGTGAAACATATATATTTGAGTTTAAAATATGTGTTTTTACAACATTTACCTACATAATTGAATCATTTTGGTTAATGACGTCATTGACCGGAGAATGATGACATTTGCCAATTTCCGTCTTTCACCGTAACAGAGAGATGCCATCTGTATGCCATCATTTACATTCTACCTGACCCCCCCTCCACTTCGACCACTGATCAGAGCACTTCAGAAGATGTCTGAAATCTCCATCCGGTCACTGTCCACGACCAAGGTATTCGCCGAGCCGTTGGCTGCAAAATGTTATGTTCCAAGTACTTCGTACCAATATGCCGTTTCAGGTGCGTCGTGATTGTCCCTGGTCCTTCGACAAGGCGGTGGGGTTCAGACGAGTTAGGCTGCAGGCAGTGTCGGTCTGGCTTAGTAATTTTCAATGGGCCCTTTACAAAAAAAAAAGGGGTTCTGAAATTTATAATTTTTTATAACATATTAAGGTAGGTGTTGCATTTTCCGAGTACATAAGTATATTTAAGGGGGACGAGGTGGCCGAGCGGTCTAATTCGTCGGCTGCGGCGCTGGCAGTCGCGGGTTCGATTCTCGGCCACTGGGCTGCATTTTTCTCCGGGCAAGTCACGGTGTCCGGAAAACAAGTGCCGCCATCCCCCACTCCGGGGCATGGCAGAAACCTACGGGTGCCCCATTCGAAATTCGGCCAAAATACACCCACGTGTAACACTCGCCCACCGTTAATAACCTACAGTACCAACCCCCCTCCCAATGGCCTAAGTTTCCGCGGGATAATAAATGAAAAAAAAAAAAAAAGTATATTTAATATCAAATTAATACTTTTTATGATTAAATAATCAAATAAAATATATAACTGTTCAGTACGTAGTACTATGGCTAACCTGGCTAGGTGATTGGATCCAGTCGGTGACTTTAGATACAAATACTAATAAAAAAAAAAAAAAACGATTTTGTTTTTTAGTTGTGGTTTACAAAGGAATAACAACGTTAACTTAAAATGTTCTTCAAATATAATACTATTTAAGACAATAATATCTTCAATTCTTGACTAGAAGATGCTAATTGATCAATTATTTCATCTTTTTGAATACATTTGATTAAATATTCTTCTACAAATAAGAAAATTAGTGGTTCAAGATGTTCTTGACTGATAGACGATCTTAGTATTGTTTTTAAAATTTTCAGTTTTGAAAACACACGTTCACATGAAACTTGTGTACAAGAAAGGGCATAATTCTGGTTTACCAACTTATCGATTTTTCAAATTTTTTTTTTTTCAAATGTGTATTTTAGGGTACTTTATAAGAATGTAAAAAAAAAGGCCGGACAAACTTCGTTTTGAAATTATAGCCATCCAAAGTTTGCGATTTATACGCATGTGGGCAACACTACTTAATGATGCGCGGAGGAACTCGTGTTTTTTTCCCGAGCGCAGCGTAGCTAGCGAGTGGCAACGCTAGCCGATTATGTTCCTTTTAACAACTCTGTTTAATTCCGAGGCCTACGCAAAACCAAAACAAATCGGGGATGTTTTCGATTTTCTTGTGAAAGCGTTATTCAATTCTAAGGTATTAAACAAATCAGATTTTGATGTTATTTCATAAAGTATTTAATAGTGATTTATGTACAGCGATTAGCGAGCATAAGTTTGAGTGTCTGTGTGCGAGGTGCGTGTCTGTATGTCTGTGTGTAATACTGTGTATCACTCGTATTAGTATATGGGTGAAGGTGTACCTTATTGGAAAATTACCGTAAATCTATTTTTGTCTCGTCAGTGCCAACTGCCGACCACGGCTAAAAGATATAATATAATTATATAGGTAATAGGTATATGGCATAAATCTGAAGATCACGGACTAAGATATTGTAATCGCCGGCCTTAATAATAGTATATACTAATATTTATAACCAATGGTTCAAAGTTTACAAATTGATTTGATTGGAACCCGAGTCTGGAATCTCGAGTAAACATAATATTTTTTTTCATTTAGCTATGGGCCCCTAATACATGAAAATATCCAGGGGCCCCCGGCGATCGCCAGACACTGGCTGCAGACGATGCACCCGCGGAAATCGGTTTGCGCCGTCTGCCGCCTCATCGGAGCTATTGCTGGTTTCAGAGTCCAGGGACTGTACGTCTGTACCTTGATGAATTTTACTGTTCTGATTACCAATTTTTAACCAGATATCTTAACATTTGCTTAGGGCTAAATAAGAAAAAATGTACAAATCACTGTCACACGTAAAGAGTCCGTTTCAAATAAAAAACAGAAATTAATCTTAAAAAACCTTTCCATAAAAGTAAAAGTATCGGTTCTGGTAAAGTTCCGGTTTTCAAATTAATTAAAAAAAAGCGTTCCGGTATTACAGTTAATTTAAATAAGGGTTTTGGTGAGGTTCCGGTTCCAAAACCGGTCCTTTTCGGTAAGGTTCCAGTCTTCGTTTGAGACGATTCGCTGGCGGTCGACCTGTTGCAGCAGGAGCAGTGTTTCATTACGCCAGTCCTGCATTTCGGTTTTATATCTCGTTGGTGAACGGAGCAGTTATGACGTCCGTAGTTACCGAAGCAGATGTAGATATTGAGACATCTTCGTCCGTTTCGACGACACCACTGCAGATTTGGACATTTGGTCGGCCTAAACGGAAGTGGACATTTCACTTTCCAGTTTGGTTTGGTGTAGCTGAGACCGAGTCCGCGGTACCGATGCGAGTTTACGCAAGTTTAATAATGTTCCGAACGTCCAATTACCCACAGCTGACAGCAGTCTTGTAAAGTATTCGAATGAAAGTATTTGAATAATTTTTTTGTATTCTGAATACTTTTATTTGTATTTTTTATTCATTAAAAAAATACTTTTTTCCGATCCAGAAAAATAATTTTATCATGAACATTAATATTTTTCTTTGAACGAAATATAATATTGGCCCATGATATGATTATTTTTCTGAACACCAATGTGTTGTATTCCGTATGGCCCGTATCGGCCCGCGGCCGTATCAAAATTCATAAATAACTTATGATTATGATGTATTTTTAATTATTAATTAATAAGGCTATATAGGTTTATATGAAGAGCGTTAAAAGCGCGTTTACAATTATGAATGTAGCTGTATTATAAAGCGCGTTTACAGCTTTCCGGCGCTTTACAACGCATTAACTCGCGTTGTCATTCATCCTGTGTAAATGTTCTAAACGCTCCTTTAACAGCTCTCATGTGAACTAGTCCTAAATGTTAATTACCAACCATTCAAAACTAACAAAAACTAGTTGTGAAAAAAAGTATTCTAATAGTATTCGAATATGTATTCTGAATATATTTTTTAAGAACTATTCGAATACGTATTCTGAATACCTTAGTTCTCATTTATTCGAATATGTATTTCTAATACAAAATAAAAGTATTTTTTACAAGACTGCCAGACAGCTGCAGACGATCGTCTTGAG